CGATGGATGAAGTCTGATAAGGAATCGTTACAGTATAGTCAAAGGGAGGAGTCCTTTGGTCGTTTGGAGATGATAGAAAAAAAATTGGTCTCATGATCGTACCAGTAGATTAGTCCTATTCATGTTGACATCCGATTATTCTTGAAAAAGCGTAATAATATTTAAATCTCTCGTAGGATCTCCCCGTGGCTACCGTTCGGCATATTAAAAATGCAAATATCACGAAATCCAGAATACCATGGCGTCACGATAATCTACGGGGACAAGGGAGCAATCAGAGGACATCCTGTTATCCTGAGGGAACACCCATATTTAACCGAGGACGACCTAACTCAAATCAGATCCATCTCAACTCTGAACTCCGGGTTTTAGTCTGGCCCATTTGGCTACCGGGAGCCACACCCTTTTCCTGTCCCTTCGAGAAACAAGCCTGGACTCGGGACACCATACGCGGAACACGCCGGATCAGCTTCTCGTGTATTTAACGATCGTCACCAGCGAGATGCCACTCTAGATTTTCGACTTCCAATCGTCCTAGGGACTTTTTACATTTTCCACCAGGCGATCCGGGAACGCTCCACGTCGATCCACTCTTTCATTTTTCACCTGTTTCCACCGACTACCGAGGACCGGATCGATTCGAATTCCTTAAACGTTTCGTTTCTCAATGGTCCCTGGGGGTAGGCCTATTAAAACATTCCATTTCGAAAATTGGGCAGGTCATTCATGTTTCTACCCTGGAAATGTAGGAGACAAGGGTCTCTACTGACTTCTCGAAACCACTCATTTATCACTGACACGAATTCCCAGCGTTTTTGCTTATCGTCCCGATCGTAACGAATTACTTAACTAGCTCGAACGGAGTATATTTCGGAAAATTAGTTCGTTCGTACGTTTATAAAAATTTACCAATAACTATTTATAGACAGTAGACTGTCATCGATATTTTTGCCAGAGGCTAATCACGGGTCCGATTAGGCTATTTTACTAAATTATTGTACAATATCATTAGTATACAAACTGATTTCACACCTTTCCAGGTGATTGTAGTAAATTCAATGTGAAAGTTTACACGATTTCGAAAGTCATCGACTATTTTAAAACGACAATGACTGTTATGAGAAAACTGGTCGATCCGGCATCCCCGTAGGTAAAGTCACGGATGACGTTATCCGTCACCTGAGAAACAGCTCCACGTGGTAAGTTTGACTTCGAACCACTGCGATATTGAGTGCATAGGAAATCGTGAATGTATATTCGATTCGCATTAAGCCAGAAGCCAAGAATCGGGCAGTACTTATTTCCTGGGGTGAAATCTGGGTGGGCCACTTCGAAGGAGACTAATACCTGAACACCTTAAGGCTCCTCACCATTATTGTAAATCTCCATGAAAAACTAAAAACCATTTGGATCTAGGATCCTGTATAGGAAAGCATATAAGTGTAGCCGAACCGGGTGCCGAGATTGATACCCCGTTGGCTCACGGTCCCGAAACCCCCCAGGACGTGACAGGACCTCCTACCGTTGCCTACCGGGCTACTACACCCGGGTCCCCAAGGACGTGCGGGTACGATGCCTAGGTAACTGTAATATATGAGTTACATCCTGGAATCCGACGCGACGTGTTACGAAAATAATCCTTTTACCAACATCTGAACATTTTCCAATATTGATCTTCCGATTGATTTCAGAACACTTTGCATCTGGCTGGTAGCCGAACCCTTATTTTCTGGTAACAGTGAAATAGCAAGTAAATTTTCGAAATTAAGACGCCGGAGATCGTATAGAAATTTTTTTTTTCAAAGGAAAAAAAAAGTGACGTAGAAAATACGTACAAGCCACGGGTAATATTTTATTTTTTTAGAAAAAATTTTTTTTCCTTACACCTACCGAGCGTAAAATCATTTTTCAGTGGTTTCCGAAAGTGAAAGGACGACACAAGAAAACCATCGAGAGAACCAAAAATTGAATGCAAGACGAACTGCAAACAAATTTGCTGAATGCTTTTTAAGTGGGACGTGAATGAAGAGGACCGTACTTCTCGCGCACATGCTGCTTCCTTATATCCTCACTGGGAGTCTATGGCGTGAGGGTGCATTTTGTTGTTGAATTGTTACAATGCCGTGTACACAATGCTCGCCAAATTACGGGCGTCCCAGTCAAAATATGTCCCGGTCCCGCGTCCCGACGCGTAATCACGCCTACCATCTATTCCCGCCTATATTGGGTGACCGCAAACTGCGGGGCAGCTGTATTTTGAGTTATCATGGATCGCCGATCTGCGGATTTTCAGTTTTTATGGGGCCCCATGGGGACTCTGCTTTCACTATGGTTTTTACGCGTTGCTTCCGTTGGCTACACTCTACCATGGCCATCGGTAGAAAATCGGTAGAGAATCGATGACGATTCTCCCTGCGTACGATGACAGCCACACTTTATACTCGCAAATCATCCGTATTCGTTATACCGGGTGGCCCGTACATATACGCACTACTGAAATTAATATTTCAAAAAGTACCATTACGCTTTTGCTAACTGTAATTTTTTTCAAAAATTTTCCTTGACAACTCACTCGGTTCGCCACGGGCTCTAAAGTACACGTGAACGTTAGACAGCTGTCGCCTATTTCGTGCTATTGTTAAGCAATGTTTGAGTGTTCCCGAACAGAAGAGAACACCCGGTATTGTCATAGCGAGATCGTACGATTACGTCGGCGATACCATCTCATCTGCATCCCTCTTCTGCAGCCCGCACTCGACCCCCAGAGATTTATCCAGCAGCGCGAAACCTTGCGGTCAAATATCATTTAGCATAGATTTAGATTTAAAGATTATCTCCAGAACGGTTACCTTATCTGAATTTCTTCGCGACATCCTTATTAGGGATAATATCTACAATCAAAAAAAAAGAAAAAAAAAATCATCTCATAATACAAATTTCTTCCACCCTTACATGTGTTCGCACCCTATAGAACTAATATATATATATACAGTAACGATAAATTTTTTATGCTCGACTCGCCGCAAAAATGTCATTCGATACAGAATCCCAGGATTTGTGCGTTTTCATGAAACGTGAGGAAATGCCTCAGCCGATTTAACCCCAAAAACGGGTTGTCGAGGCGATGCTGAAATTTAGCGGCCGATTTAATGTTACGGATAGAGGCGTGTTATTGGCGAGCAGGTGAAACTAATCGGTTGGAAATTATGGATCGGTACGATCCCTCAAGATTCGTGAGGATCTTGCACGAGAGAGATATTCCGTAGTGCCAGGGCGAACGTGGCTCCAGTAAAGGTTGGTTTCTAAGAAGCGTAATGGCTGCTGGTATCCTTCGATATCTGCAACAGAGTATAAACCTAAGTTTGTCTATTTATCTAAAGCGTAGGATATCAAAGTGAGCCGCATGAAGAGTGTTTCCATTTACCGTATAAGACCACATGTAAAACGCTAAACGAAGACTGTACGAAAGTTTTCTTTTGACGTAAGCGCCATGTTTTTTTTTCCTCCCAGCACAACACGCCAACTGCGAAAGAGAGCATTGAGTCTTGAATTTCCTAGGAGCGGCTCCTCGTTATCCACGCGTCACCGATTGCGTCGAGCGCTGAATCTTCAGCAAGAAATGCCTTCGTGGAAGACAGAGACGTTACGTGTCCGACATTAGGGTTTTATTATTGCATCGTTAGGACCGAAAGAATTGTGGAGAATCAATTGACTCGGAGTCCTAGATGGGACGTCGTTCTGACGAGGAGTCCAGCACGGATCAACAGGAAGGAATGACTGAACAGCTCAGACCCATAGTCGCCAGCAATTACGTCATTAGAGTCCTTTCCATTCATGGATCGAGGCGCTGAACGATCTTGATCGCTTCTTAATCCAAATACTACAAGACCCGGCGTCTGGTATTGTGATTGGTGGTAGAGGATTGAAATTGAGGATTTTGAGTTTTTTTTTTGTTTACAGAAGAACGGAAACACGTGTTTTAGAATAAACGGTATATATAGTCTACTGGGTCTAGATGAAGGTTAGAAGGTTCCTGTTAGACCCAATTAAGGCGTCCTTCCCGTTTTCAAAATCCGCTCTACTTTTGAGTAATGGGACCAAGTGGGCTTTGACCGCGATAAATACAGCTCATCGTTACGTTTCGAGGTTCGGGATAGAATATTACTCGAATAATTAGCATTGCCCGTACTAATCGATGGTGTTAGTCTCGAAAGTCTGCTAATTAGAAAATTAGACTCTGCCACCGAGGAAAACAATGGAAGGATTAGGACCCAGCAGAGGTACTCTCGTTAAAGCCACGGGCATGGATTATGTCCCGATGAAGGCGGAGGAGGGATTTTCTCAAGGGATTCTATGAATCTGGAATTGAATGTCTAACCTCAAAATTTATCAACTCTCCGCCGAGTCCTGCATTAACCTGGAGACCTCGTCACCTTAAAATTGTCCTACGTACCCTTTCACGCTGTTCCATGCCGAAATTTATCAACGGTCTCTCCACGTATAGGCAGCTAGGTACGTAGGTAGGTAGCTAGAGGAGAAACGGCTTGCAGAGAATTCAACTGCGCGGAATACGTGACACGTACGTCACATTAGATTTGAAGGTGACGTGCTTCGGTACAAACGTATCTGACTTACATCTAGCCCTTTAGTACAGGGCAGCACTTTGCTTTCGGCGACACGCAGATACGAGATAATCTTGATCTACGCTAAACAGCGCGCCGGGCTAACCCTTCAGATAATATAGATAACATTCAGCCCTCTGTGAATTCAATAATGCGCCTATGTACGAAGCCCTGAATGGACTCATTGTTGGTTAGGGAGCACTGTTTGGTCCTCCGAAGAGTGGAAAAGAGAGATGCGGGAATCTGCATATATGCCTGTGCGCGAGTAAAAAGGTTCGACCGTATAGAAAAGTCCTCCTTTGGTAACGACCGGAGCGCCACGGCGGATCTTACGTGTACTACGTACAGAACTCCCGGCAGGAATAGTTTTTCTCGAAGCACGCCACGAGGCGTAGAACCGGTTTTTCAAATCCAGGAATCGAAAAATCCTGGCAGTCCTGACGCAGGTAGTACTCATTGTTAGTATAACGAGGTCTCCGAAATTGTGATTCTTTGGTAAGTACTCGTAGAGGCGTAGAAAATTGACATATTATTTTATCTGTTTTCACACCCTTTTCACGCACGGGATTACGGTTATTATCTCAATTATCCTATTTATCTACCTGAAAACACTGGAAATCAATGGCTCTGACTCGTCAGATGAAGTGATCATCCTGTTTTGAGGTTTCTCTCGCAATCAGCATTCAGTCAAGTCGTTAGTGCCAATCGGTAACGAAGGTGCATAACGTTTCCTTCGTACTGTCGATAGTTAGCCATTATTCCGATAGAGCTCGGGGCTGCGGTTGCTCGATATTTTGTTTACGAAAAAATGTAATTAGAATCAGACGGACCGCATCTCGGCAAGCAAAAGGGGCCTTACTCACTTCAAGAGATTCACTCTGCAGTCACGTGAGGTTCGGACGAGCATGTGGGTTCGCGATCACGAAATTGCCCAAAGCGCTGCAATAAGCCATAAAGATACCAAGCGGATGCATCATCCTGGGTATGAAACCTTCCTTATAAAGATATGTGTATCCTCTACCAGGAATAATTATAGACGCGGTACGCGCACGCTCCGCAAACCGGCAGATTCATCCGTGAGATGAACTCGTCGGTTAGCATTTTTCATATATATTTTTTTCTTCTTTTAACATGACCATCCTTTTAGGTTATGCTAACGGCAGTTGCGTTATTCCTTTCCCGGGGGAGACACGTTGCAATGCAGGAACTCTTCGGTGCAATCATCAACATTTTATATGCCAACTACGTGCACGCAGGTGAAAACCAAGGTACGTATCAAGGATCAGTGAATATTTGGAACGCGTCGTGATACCTGGTGCGCAGGTGTTACCCGAAGCCACCTGAATTCGTCGTCTGATACATGACGTACTGGCCAATTATTAGGTATATAATTTTTTAGCTTACCTCGTCATTGCTGCAAGGAAGCAGACCTGGTGCAAGTACCCTACCGAGGTACACGGAGACAGGAAATCAGGATGAACTGTCAAAACTGGAGTATGGCAAAGCCAGCAGTGTTTACAGGGCTTAGCGAAGTAGCCCATTGTTAAGAAGGTTGGTAACAATGGTCTCGCATTACGCGCTTCTCGTTATTTCGGCGCTAACTCTTTTTGTTCCCCAGGATTAAGATGATCCCTCCCAGCAGGAATGGCAGTAGGAGCAAGAGGAATGGAGGACCGGGGGTGTCTCAAGGGTAGGGAGAGATCTTACAGTTTTAGAAGAGGAAACGGTGCCCCGTTTCCATGAACAATGCCTGAGACAATGTTTGAGGGGGATGCACGACAACAGGCTCCCAAGGTGTTCGCGACCGTACGGATTTCCTAGATCGTAGATCCCATGGAGGATCCATCTTCGACGGAGATCTCTCGATGATCTTAGAAAAGATAACATGGTTATATGGAGCAGAACGGTAACTAAGCTGCCCCGTAGCTCACTTTACCAAAAATCTCTCTAGCTACAGTTGACCGTAACAAAGCTCTTTTTTTTCTTTCTTTCTTTTTTTTTTTTATTTTAAAGAAAGCAGCCTATCGGCTGTATCAATTAGTAATCCTCGAAAATCCTCACGGGGAGGCCGGTGTATTTTGAACAATTGGTAACCCGCGTATACGTATATCGGTATCCGGTACTGCGGCTAGAGAGAATCGAAGTAAAGCGGGAAAATATAAATGGAGACAAAGAAAATGGCTGGTTGGTTCTCTCGTTTCTATAATCGGGATTCGCGGAATGGAGACATCAGTTTATCCGAGTCTATTTTGTATTTCCAATTACCCCCGACTGCCTTCCTTGTAGATACTCTATGTACTGTATGTCCACGTACGATCCCATTGCCGTCGTGCACGTAGCCGCAGTACACGTGTGTCTGGAGCGAACTGCTACAAGGGAGGTAAAACGTATATACCGTTAGGGAGTTGAGAGAAAACACAGAGGGAGGAAAATAGAGAGAATACAGAAGCGGGGGCGAACCTATTCAACCCTCTCTCTGGGCCGCTCTTTGTCTATCTCCTTTGTATTTTAGAACGTAGCCAGCGCCTCGGCATTCCTGAAAAAAAAGGTCTCGTTTAATTTTGCGGTTTAATTATTTTTTAAATTAAACCGGACCCAGTCGAGTCCGACTACGTACTCTCTCTCTAGTGGCTACTATACCAGTACGTGTTCACGTACTGGATACGTGTATTACTATTATATATATATATATATATATTATATATACACATGAGAAACAAGGGGTGGGACTCGCACGCGCACAGAATAGGACGCAGGGGGTGATTTCACGTACTGGATACGTGTATTACTATGGACCCAGTCGAGTCCGACTACGTACTCTCTCTCTAGTGGCTACTATACCAGTACGTGTTCACGTACTGGATACGTGTATTACTATTATATATATATATATATATATTATATATACACATGAGAAACAAGGGGTGGGACTCGCACGCGCACAGAATAGGACGCAGGGGGTGATCGTGTTTTATTTCTTCCAGAGATATGGCGCTCGAGCAAGAGCATATAGGGGTTGGGAGTCAGGGGGTAGGTCGTAGGAGGGATGGAAAATGCGACGGGGATGTTTTGAATGTGAAATACCGTCTCTACCGCGAGTCAAGGGATGATTGTGTGTTCGTTCGTTCGCCGGTTGGCTCAAGGTTGGGGAACAACGAAAAAAAGTAGAAAAATGTAAACGCGACTCGCCTCCGGCTTCAACCCCCAATACGTACCGTGCATACCGACTCTTAACACGTGTGCGCTTACCTGTAGGCACCTACGTGCATGCGTGTACACCGTAATATACTGTAATGTGGAATTCGCGCTCGTTCCAGGGATTTTCATTTTTTTTGTTATTATTGTTATTATGAATTTGAGCTCGGTAGCTACCTAACCTAACTTTACACATACGGTATATAATATTTTCTTTATATACATACCTGGTGTACCGAGATATATGAATTTTTGAAAAACTATGATTACCCATTTTTTTATAAATTTTTATTTTCTAGCCCTTCATTTTTTATTTTCTTATCAGTATATGCGCGTCACGACGATTATGTAAATCGGGATAGTTTCCTTCGAACTCAACGAAAATCGAACTTATTTTCTCCGAACGAAATTTTACGTTTGCCTATCTGCTTATCGTGATACTGATTTTCATGCTCGATCCACTCTGTATGTTTACTGATAAATATTTTAAGTAACCGATCGCTCGTACGCGTTACGCATAGACGGCTTAACTTCCGATCGGTTCAGAATTACAGGTCGGGAGTGTATATATATGAGTTTTCCGAATTTTCGAAAAAGACTGCAGTACCGACGCTTGGCGTCGCCCGTGGCTACGTTTCTCATAAAAATGCCCTTTTCGCGTGTGTTCGTATAAAAGTACGAGCGGCTATGGTATCTCGCGTAGATAACGGTGATATCGCTGATATATTGTAGCCACCTACCAACTGGTTCCCTCAGTAGATTCGCATGCACCCTCTGCGGAGGGTTGCCAGCCAAATAAAATAGTATCCAGTTCGCTGAGCAGGTGCAATGATATTTCAGATAAAAAAAAAGTATGTGTATGGAATTTTCAAATTTTCTTTATTTTTTTTTCCATGCTAATTTTCGCCTCCGTACGATCGGGACAAATTGATCGAACGAGTGTCGTATTGATATCGGGATGGGTGTTAAAAGGGGTTTGGGTCACTCGACGAGATTCGGAAGGAGGATTGCCGCAGTAAAAGGGTTAACGCGCGCAATCTTCACGATTAATTGGGTGAACTCGTTCTTCGGGAGGCCCCGAGTCCGAGATAAGAATGATGTATAGGCAGGAGGTCTCTACGTAGATATAACAATTAGAAACTTGAAAAAAAGTTCGGGACTTTAAAAACGTGCAAATTTCCTCTCATTATTCGTTTTATCGCTGAGCCAACCTCGGGGTTCGCACGTGAAGAGAGAGGAACGTGCCAAGGGTTAAGGAAGGGGTTGGTGGAAAAAAAGAAAAGAAAAAAAAAAGAAAAGAAAAGAATAGCTCGCACGAAAAAGAAAAGGAGAAATGAAAGAATATCGCGATTCGGAGCCGGCACTTTTACATTAGCGAGATAAGTCTCGGCCGGGGCGGTTGACGCTGGTGGGTCGGCGGGGGGCTGTGAAGTCGAGAGAGTGAGGTTAGGTGGTACGTATGCGAGAAAGAGGGAGAAAGAGAAAGAGTGGAAAAGAGGATATTCACCCGAGGCATCCGAGAGGAGAGAGAGCATTTTTTCACCCTTTCTTGCAATAAATCTGGCCGCGGGAATTAGTTTCGAGATAAAGTATAATATCGGACCCTGGTTGGGTGACGTCAGAGGCTCCGAGTATTTATGACCGTGATAGCGTCAGTCGTACGCGTACCAGCGACCCCGGAAACCACCCCCTCGGGCTAAATTATTGGAAAATAGTCGCTCGGCTCTGAGATCCTCCGCGAAATGGTAAATTCTTCTTCTGTTTTGTATTCAGCGAAACCTTCGGGCTCCCGTCTGATTTACTGGGGCTTTTACCTCATTCTCTCCGTCTTCGTTCATCGCCATCTTTTCTTACCCGCCGATATCACGGCTGTACATATATGTATACCCTTATGGCCTTTATTCTCGGTCTCGTTCGGCTGGTTCGCTTTTTGGAAATAATTTTTTTTTTTTTCACATTTATTATACCCCTTCACTCGATCCCATTGATCGTTATACGATCTTTCCTCTTTTTCCAGACTGCTCACGAAGAAACGTCGAATGCGGATACAGGATGCAGGGATGCTGTAAATTGTCCTGTTCTATGGATTTTCCTGACTGTGAAAGTCGCGTCAAGCCTCGGCTGCAACGGACGAATCAGCGCAGCCTGGCAGATGGAGCTATCGTAACTAACTGCTGCACCCTGGGGACCTAATGAAATAATTTTAACGTCAACACCACGTGTATCGAGATGCGTGGGGTGGCCGTTGCGTCACTTGTACACTCGCGGTACTATAGCGAACAGATGGGATGTGGTATTTGACTTGGCCAATTGGCTACCCTGCATGAGGTCCATTTGGCTGTCGGAGTCAAATTCTACCCTTGACGTACATACAGTGTTGGTAGTTAAAAAAGGGATTTGGAATGGATCCCAGCTCTTCGGACCTAATATACCAATAATAATTATTAAGTGCGATCTAAGGAACGAGTTATTTAAAAAATTTGTAATACTCGACGCATTAGGCAGTTAGTACAGTAAGTGTCCTATTCTAAGAACGTATTTCGAAAATTACCGTTTGATGTCTGTTAGGCGAAGTGGTAACAGGGTTCGTCTTAATGACTTCTAATTGAAGGCTCCGACTGTTGTCGCTCGTGCAGTCGAACCATTGAAAAATCCTTAGACGTGTATACTTGCCAATTAGCATACTGGCCAATTACGAGTCTTAAGAGCCGGCACGGAAATTATTGCCGATTACACGAGCCATTAGCCCTGGCTCCGCAATCGTCTAATTTACGCAAATTGCAAATCTCGTCTATCGCGCTTACATACTAGTATGCCTCGCGTATGGCGAATACAGCCTCCGTCCGGTCCATACGGCACTGGCATACAGTACCGGTAATGCCACGCAATCGGAGCCGCAAACTAAGATCTAATAAAGCGACAAATCAGCCTAACGACGGCACACGCGTGATTCCGCACACCGTGCTGTATCCTACCACCTATGCCAGCCTGGCATAATCTGTCCCAGCGCTGATTACATAAGCTAATGTGCATCCGTGCAATGTACCCAGGCAAGGACTGTATATAAATACGTACCGGTACCGATTATAGTACCACGTCACTATATCCTCTATTACGTATACGAAGCTGGATACGTGACAGCCGGCATGCGGAAACAGAAATTTCCATGTCCAAATATTATTAAAGTTTGCGCTAGAAATTTTCGTGCGTTACCAGCAGCTCCGGCTGATCTAGGAATTTTTATGTCATACCAATTTTTATTAGAAAATTATTATCACGATAAGCACGGTCTGTACCGTTACTCGTATATGGTTCTTAGAGCCATTGTTCAATCCGGCGTGATTCAATTGTCAGATTAATTGTATTGTATTTATGATGGCATTATGCAACTCGTGGGATAAGACTTTTCACGGCGTATGGGCTAATTGAAACGCCACTGCACACCAGATAAGCACGATTGTCCCGGAGAGTTATGAGATAATATTATGAGGCCTCGTACGTCAAGCTCGAATTAATTTCGCGACTCCCTCGTACTCGCGGTTCTCCGCGTGGATAGGGTATTTTCATGGAATACGTCATTTCGTCAAACGAGCTTGTGGGTCGAATTGAAAAACGAAAATGAAAAAAAATGTTCGCTGCATACCCTTAGCGTTTTACTTTGTATTAATATTTTTTTTATGTCACAGCGACAGAGGTAGGTGTATATGTATATATATATGTAATGCATGCAGGGTATTTTATACATTATAAAAGAACAGTAGATCGGTCTTCGTGACTTGACAATGAGGAAGGTTCGAAAGTCGTTGGAACCAAAAGTGCTACTCAACGTCTTGCTAACTTTAGTAATTTCTACCCTTATTCTCTTGTCTGGGCCTGGAACGAGGGTTACGATCTGCCCTATCGACATCTGCGCCTCGAGTGCGCTAAAGGATTAAAACTCCTTGGGGTCTGCAACCTGAGAATCAATGCAAAGCTGGTGCAACGATGATGGACCTGGTCTTCCTTGAACCTGTCATTTCTGATCCGAAGACGGGGTTAATCCACTGGCTGACGCTTGAGTAAAATTCTTAAAAAATCTTTAGGGTTGCAAAGATACCTGTGCCGCATGTGGATAGGGGTGTGCGTGTACCTAGAGTTTGATTTAGAAATTTTATTGTCTGGGTAGTTATCACTGTTATGATTTTTAAAAAATTTTTCCATTCACTTTCCATCCCCTGGGTCAGGCTAGGTCAATGCCTAGTCCAGGAGCAAACGCACGTGAGGTTGCTCGTTGTCAAGGGTGGGTCTGTTGAAAACGGTTGATCCCATGTCCCGTGAGAGTGGTCCTCTAGGAAGTTTCAAGGTCTTGAAGATCCTGGGTCTAAACGGGGTAATGCCCCACGTTATCGAGCACGAGCACCATCCACAGGAGTTCTTTTGCTTGATTCTAACGCAACCTCGTTGAGTGTCCCTACAGAGGGTGGGTCTGCCAGAGACGTAACTTTCACCCTGCTTTGGAAAACTCGTCATAAAGTTGGCCAGGTCGAAAGAAAATAAAAAATGACACGCAATCCTAGGATTTCATCAGGACGTCTTATCGTCCTGGGTCTAACGATCAGTTATAGGAACTGACAGGAAATCGTCGTTTTTCACACTGAATTGAGTTTCCGGTTTATTTTGCATAGAAAAAGACCTGCTGTAAATTTTCATTTTACATTATACACATTTTAACCCACTCTTACGGCTCTTAAATGATTACGGTGTAAAGTGAATTATTTTTAAAGACTTTCCTGACAACTTCCGCCCTTAAAGAAAAGAAAAAAAAAACTTCTAGAACCATTCAGGCTCCGTCGGATGGATGATCGCACTGGGGTCGTTAGGGAGGCATGCGCCGCCATATAATTGCGGTCGAAATATTTGGATGCTTCGGAAAAGGATGGGAGGACATAAAAAAAAAAGGGTTCAAGGAATAGAAGTCTGGATGCTGTGTAGATTCGGGATAACAGTGTATCATTATTAGGTAGGAATGCGCGGCGCATGCTTCATTGTCACGTGCCCTTAATTGCGCGGGAATTATACATAATTTGAATTATTTGAGTGACGTTTCACTGTTATGGACGAGGGGAAGTGGGAGGGAGAGGGGGGGTGGAGTATATATATATGTATACCGTAAATAGGAAGAAACTGTATTTTGTAAGGGATCCTACCCCTCCGTAAGGTGACGGAGAGAATTTTCCATAGTAATATATATATATATATATATGTATGTCCAGGTAAAATTGAAATACTCAAAGGGTTATTTTTGTGGGCGGAAATAGATTTTCACTTTGGTTTGAATTCTATGGTGGTAATTATAGTTTTATTGAGGTCTTGCAAGAGATCCTTGTTGTATGAATAGAACGCAGAGGTCAGACATTGGATTCGTAGTGCACGTACCACTGTTAACTTGGGGCGTTCGGTGCACTGGGTATGTACTACTGTAATCCTGAGAATAATGGGAAGACCTCAGGTCCACAAGGATTTCCCGCAAGGGGCAGGGAGAGAGGGGGTCCCACCGTTATTTACGACGTTTGAAATCGATACCCCTGCAGGCAAATCAATTATGAAAATATAGATAAAGAAAAGAAAAAGTCTGGCAATGGCGCCGGGTCAGGTAACACGAAATCCTGTGGACAACTTTCTGTCTCTCTTGGTACTTCTTTTTTTCACATTTCACAAGGTTTTACTGATTATAAATCAGCCCGACGACCATAAACCCGAGGGTATTCTCAGCCCTACTAGTTTAGGACCCTATCCTTCGAAACTTCCACGAGTCCCTTTGCGCACGAGAATCCTAACCCAGGCTGACCCACAGACAATGGTCTCTAAGGACATTGCGATATTTTAGAGCGTAACTAGAAAATCCTAATACCTGCCTGGATGAGTATTGCCGCATAGGGTACCTAACCCTGTTTCTGCTTCTAATTCCTCCGTTGACGATCAGGATGCTCAGTTACCATCATCTTCTGGATTAAACTAGGCTCTTAGGGAATCTTGCGGGATTTTGCTTGACTGATTGGAGAAAATATGGGGAAACGATTAGGACGGATCTAACGGGTGTTTCGTCAAGGTGGACAGGTGAATTTTGAATTGGTATCAAAAAAAAAGGATTTTTTTTTATAGTATCGGTATTTTGCAAATGAAATATGAATTGACGATTTTTTTTTTCATTTATATTATATTTTTACTTTCTATATATGATTTATATGCATAGTTCATTCAGGGGAAAAGATTTGTCCGGTATTGAATAACGTGAGGTGCTCTGCTCTAGTTCTTAGTAATTTTAACAATCCGTGTAAAAGATTCATTTACCCTTGGCTACCTTGTCCACCTCGATCCTCAGGGACCGTCATAAAAATCGGTAATACAAAACTGGGTCATCCTTGGCTACACAGTGTATAAGCTGTCAGTATGTTTTTGACTAAGAGTCCCTTCACACTGATTTTTTTTAAATTCGAACGAATCGATAGAAAAAATTTATTATTTATAAATAATTGTAAATGAAAAAAAAAGTTGGTATGACAGATATTTTTTTTCGAAAAACACAAATGAATTTTCTTGGTGAGTATTTTCGATGAACGTAAGACTACCTATGTCAAACGATTGTGAACGCTGCCTAAAAGCGTCTTAGACTCTTACGGAGTAAGTCGGAGCCTCGGGACCTTCTAACCCCGAAAAGAGGGGTGAGTAGTTAGAGGTTACAGGGGCTGGCGCCTGTTTCACAATAACTCCAGACACTACCGTCACCCCATTCGACGTAGCCCGTGAAAACGGTCCCCCAGGTAGCTCCCTCCCGTTGCTACGTATAGATGCGGGCTACACCTACGTACTAGACGCTACATAGATATATATATATATATTGAAAAGGTAGGTATACAGGCGTGCTACGAGAAGCAACGGCTCGGGAACGTAAGAACGCACGAGAAACGGCGAACCAAGAGGGTGTGAGTTATGCGACGTGAAGTCGCTCCGTGATTCCTTAGGATTGGGGAGGTCGGAACGCGCGCGACTTCAGGAACGATTTACCGAGGTAGAACTAACGGTCCGTTGGCTCCGGTGTACAATCTTCAAAAATGTGGAAAACACGTGGAAACACCCAACAAAGGATTTAGCCCGTGATATTGAGACGGTAATTTAACTTTTTTTTTTTTGAGAATTATATGCATTTTTTATTTTTGAAAAACTGCAAAAAATTCCATATACAGGATGATCGTGGTAGGGTACGAGAAATGATGTTGTGAGAAATAGTCTAATTTTTTTTATTTACAAAATGAGCACGGCATTAAAAAATTTTGAAAAATTTAATGAGATAAAAAAAAATAAAAAATTAATAATAACGCTTCACTGTCGATTGTCCATAATTAAAGATTAAATTTCGTTTTATCGTAGCGGGTGTTCCCCAATGATCGTTATCGATAAGAAACGACTTTCGCAGCCATAGGAAAAAAATATATATAGGCGGTTAACGTTATCGGAAACATAAGCAGGCATAAGTAGCCACACCTCCGCACAAAGATAAAGCTGACCGTCGTAACAGACAAGAGCGTGCCGATAGCTTCGATTTCCAACAAACGACGAAAGTCTTTCGTTATCTCCGACACGCCCCGACATACTAGGAACCTACGAAGACCCACCTAACCTATCAGCTCCCGGTACTAGATAAGTGGCCATTTAGATGATCTCTTTCAGATACGTAATACATTCTGACCATCAACAAGCCGACCGTCCGGCATCGAGATATATACAAGCAATCCCAAAAGAAGCCAAAGACTTCTGGTAAGCTACATGTGTATTGGCCTTGCTTTAGATGCATACGTATATATACAAATTCATAGCACAAATTCGTATTTCCATAGCGCGACGACGTAGCGCATCGCCAGACTCACCCTCGAGATCCTCGTTTCATTAGTTCCAACAAGGTGGTACGTATTTTCCGGTCTAACCTAAAAATATCCAGTATGCGTCGCTATCCCAGAGACTCTCCTTAACGCGTAACGTCGTCACAGAAACTTTTCCTGTCCCGTCCTGTCGCGTTCCATTCCATCCTGATCCTGTCTCCTCGGTGTCCCTCGGCTTCACCCAGTCTCGCCAACTTTTCACCCTGGCACAAGTCGAGACCTTTGAGGACTCGCATCTCGCATGTAATCTTCGCTTGACATCCGTGCAACGTTTTATGCTTTTTTTTCTTTTTCCTTCTTTACTGTCTCTCTCTCTCTTGTTCACTTCAGACATCGTCTCTTGTCACTCTACAACACACTGCCTTGACTCGGTCAGTCATTTTCAGTTCTCGGCTCCTACCACGCCGACTCCCGTTGTCTCTCCGATTCAAAAAGCGTCTCTGCTTTACCTTCAGTTCTTTCCTACATCCGTCTGTCACTCGGTAAGTAATTCATGGCTGAGTGGCGTCACGCCCTCCTCAAACTGTCAAACGAGCGTCATTCTGTCCATTCATATTCTAATTACTCGACTAACCCTTTCGCCGCTTTTAAGCACTTATTGTATGTACATACATATAGATACGTACGTGGCAGCAGTAGGCAGTCGGTCCAACTGCGAAGTACAATTGGTAATTAAATCTACTCACTGCCATTTGCTATTTACGTCGGAGCACTCGATGGTGTAAATCTTTTGTAATTATACCCTGTGAAAGGGTAGCGTGCCCAGAGTTATTTTTGTACGTTAATACCGTTCCAGAAGGATTTTTAAGGTAAACAGATTTTATTATACAAATAATTATTATTGTCGTTATAAAATGATAAGGTTATTTTTACACGTGTCAGAGACTGGGTATACTCTTACAGTAGGTGTCGTGTCTGTCATGTACTATAGGGCGTGACGTATCTGAGGTATACTGAGGGATGTTGTAAGGTTGTAAAGATATTAAAGGCCCTTAAGGATGAACTCAAGAGTAGAGGTTAGGGAGAAGCGAATCTCAAAGTTGTCTAGTACCTCGTTGTAGTACACAGCTAGGAATTGTCCTATCGCGTTCCGAATCGCTAACAAATGCCCAGCTTTGTCGCGCATTGTGAACAGCGCACAATGTTCATTTTGCCGAAGTATTTCGCGAGGTCTCTTCTACTTTCTATCTCTCTCTTTCTCATCTGGCCGAGAGGAGGGAAACTGCAAGAGAATGCTGCACTCGGCTCCTTATCACGATGGCATCAACAACGTGAAAGATCTCTTTTCCAAGGTTGGTACCTACTGGGTCCACTCCCTCTCCACCTCCGCGTAGCCTATCTCCAAATAGGTCTTGTAGTACTTAAGGTTCATCAAGATAACTCTAACCTGGCTTTGTGTCCTGGGACATTGTGTCCCTGGTGCGTGGCTTATGTTTTGGGTTTTTCGAGTTCGACAATCCGAAAGAGTGCATCCTTACTTTGGTACTGTGCATAAATACATTTCGTTCTGTTACCTGTCTCTCTCTTCGTCATCTTGCATTCGAAGCCTTCCCTTGTCGATCTCCTCGTGGCTTGTTTGGTGTCGCGATCCCATTGTCGCTATAGGGAACCGTGCTTCCTCTTGGTGCATACCTATTATATGACGATAGGACACTGTCGAACGGCGAATAATCCCGTCACGAGGAGAGACAGTAGATCGGCATCACGACACGCCCCGTATGAACCTATAAGTGCAAGAGCGTACGTAAACTGTATATATGGCCCATGCTGAACTTCAACAAGGAATTCCACGAATGCCTTCTCTATATACATTCCTTTGTATATATTCTTACAGCTAGTATTTTCCATTGTCAATGTAACCGTGTCTACCTTAGTGCCTTGGAGCGAATCGTGAATCCTATCGCAAGGAGTCCACTCCAGGTACAAGCTACGACGTATCCCCTATAAGAACCCATAAGTGCATCGCCACGATTGAGCATGCATCTAACCTTTTTGTCGCCCTTGTATTTTCCAGCTTGTGTATGGCTGAACAGGGAGTTTAGTATCTATCTTATATATATCTATCCCGTAAGAGAATACGATTTTTTGACGTGGATGTACACTGTCTCAATGTCTCTACTGTACTCGCTTTGCGATATTAAAATTATGTCGTACGAGCTTACGTAGGTAGCCGCTAGATGGCGCTGATGCGCTAGACGTTTTCTAGCTTTCCGTGGCGTGTCGTACGTGCGAGACGATCTTGGTAGAATTAAGTTTCGTGGCCGATAATGGTAGTGCGCGGGATATATCGTGTCCGGGTGAAACAAAAGTTCGAAAACGCGTTACTACTTGTCGGTGCATTAACCTAATCACAGAGGGTTGAAAAAGGGAGGCTGACTTTTCGTTTTTTAAGACCCACGCTTTCCCGTGATGCCTCTTCGGCATCTCTTATTCTCTACTCGTCTCGTCACGGCCGTCCTTTTCCTTCTCCACTTCCATCGCAATGAGCACGGAACACGTTCCTGACACGCGTCTATAATAAAACCACCTACTACTTCACTGCCCGCTCCGACTGCGTTCCACTGCCAGCAAGACCCTAAGTGGGGCTGACTCTGCAAGAATTTTATTTTTGTGCTCCCAAAACATCAACCCATCCGACCACGTCCAGACTGCCAACGAATGGCTTCAACGACCAAGTTGCACTGTGAAGGCAAACTGTCCTGGATATTTTTTTTGGTATTTGTTTTTTTATTTTTTCACCCTTATTACGTAACTTTAGACTGTAGCACGTGACAGATTTTTGTCAGCGTGCAATTCTGCAGTGACTTTGGAAAATCTTAAGAAAATTCTATTCAAGACATTGGTGCTGCCAGTGGCGGAAGTGCTCCGCTGGTACGAATATCCGGTTTCGCGCTGAGCGTAAATTTCCGTACTTTTCTACGGCGGTCTTAGATAAGAATTTATCATGGTCCGTTCGGAATTAATCCAGCATTAATTCTAATCGTCCTTGAGATTTATTGGCGCACGGTAAGTATGTCGGGTAACTTGGGAAGAAGTAGGAAAGTTCTTCTCGTTAATCGGAAGTGTATACTTAAAGTCTGTGCCAATTCTCATTTATCAGCGCTAAGACGTTGAGCTTTCTTTATTATATTGCTTTCATATATCTTTTTCGACTTCCTTACAATTATACAGATCGTGTATAAAAATGAAGCAACGATCTAAAAAAAATTCAAAAATATTTATCTGACAAAATTTAGTAATTTTAATTAAAAATTTCATTAATTTAAGTTCTATAGACACTTTATAGTTTATATGGAAATTTATACTTAAAATCAGACTCCTACTGATTGGTTTGCCTTTTCTACTAGTTATAGGTATACTGTATTACTGTACTGTATGTATACTTGTATAGGCATCCATACTATCGTCGTTCCTATACTCAAGAAATATATAGGCATAGACATTATACAGCTTACCACAAAAAGGAGGCACAATAGGTAGACAACTTCCGAAGTCACTGTATAATCCATGGCTACTGTACCTAACGAACCCTCAAATTTACAGTTACTTCCGGATTTCAGGTATTCCAGTGTAACTTTCAAAGATCTTCCCATTAATGCAGAGATACTCAAGAGGGACGATGGACGTGGAAAAATATTGTAGACCGTCATACTGTAAACAGTAATGCAGTAAGGTGTCAGTAATTGATAATAAATATTTTATTGTATGTCTCAATACTCATTACGGATTCAATAGTCAATTAGGAACCTCGTCGGTATTGATTTTACGATCGTGATCTAATATAGATAAAATACTGCCACCGAGTGAACGCAAGAATAAGAGGTACGGAAATTATACAGGCTGATTAAAATGTTTCTAACGTATTTTAAGTTTATTGATATAATTAATTGATTCTTTACAGAAACCCTGAATAAACAGATCCTGACTGTCAAATCCCAAGAGAGCCGTATATTCGTCCGGGAAAAACTTGAGGATTTCCAGTCACGAAATTACATCCGTCGCTCAGCCCTTTAACCGAATGGAGAATTTTTCTGCATTTTAAGGAAACAAATGCTTCTGGGTGTGTCCCGTGCCTCGTGGGATGTCAGCCGGTAAAACCTATTCAAATTCTTATATGACAATGTAAGCTAGGCTTTACTAATTTATGGTGTTTGGCTTGTAGATTGGCAGTACTTGACTTCTTGTTTACAGTAAAAATTAACATGTGCTCAGCATGTTATACGGGTGTCTTGATACTTCCCAGGATAATACACTTGCCTGTAACGTATAAGAGGAAAGTTTGGTTTTGGTGTATTAGAAAAATTTTCCAGCGATTGAATCAGCTGATTTGCGTCTCGCGGACGACCCCATCTTTATGTCTGTATTAACATTGAGCATTAATGGTTCGGACGGCCATTAGTAAAGGGAGTCAAAAGCTCAGGGTCTTCAATGACGATAGTCATTAGTCGCTATTGCCTCTTTGCTCCGTACATACAAAAGCTTAAGCAGGCAGTTAGACCATATTGGTAATGTCAGAAATAAAAAAAGAAAATTTTAAGCTCGTAATGGCTGTACTGTTAACCAACGAGGTAAGTCATTAATTTTCAATTAAATTTTTAAAAAGGTACCTCGTTAAATATCTATCTCATTCCTTACAGTAAACCCAAATTATTCCTTAACAAGACTGAAAACCTGCTGTTACTGTTCTGTTACCATTTTACTGAATTTTCTTGTTTCTACTTTCTTCTAGGTAGAATTAAATGACCCGGTCAACTCGTCACGGGTAATTAACGCTCGACTTGAAGGAAAGTGAAATTTCACTGAGATCTATGGGCTTCGATAATTGAATGGGCGATCAACCGTTTTACGGTCAAGGTGTAACGCCTCAATCAACATAGATAATACAGTCAACCTAAAGCGGCCGTTTGTGCTCGACAAATTGGTTCCAGTTTTTATGAATTTACGCGCGGGAAGTCACATTATTTTTGTAAGATTAGAAACTTCAGTCATCGGCAACATTAATTAAGATATAATTTATTTGTGTTTCAGCCTGCACCAGCTTCTTCTACCATCTATCGCGGATAAGAGCTCGTGAAGCAAAAGCGAAAAACCAAATGGTTTTTAGCTAGCAATAACTTCAGGGGCAAATTTGTAAAATAATTTACTCTTTACTTACTGGACAGAGTGGATCGATTATTTTCATAGAGTTCATTGACATCTTTTTTTTTTACAGGAAAACAAACATCTCAACCCACCTGGTCCAAATCTCCCGAACAGACAGCAAACACAGAACGTAATCCCGACGATCAGTGGCAGCTCTAAACTCAAGATTACGTTCGTGAAGCTAAACCGGGGTAATCCGGAATTGCGGGATGTAAGGGATGCGCCATGTAGAAACGATGTCAGAGACCCAGGCGGCGAGTAGAGCAAACCTCCTGACGTAAACGACATAACGAGGAGTAACGTGACTCTTATATAGAGTCTATATATATATTATATATGGAAATATAGGAAGGCAAGATACAAGTATATATATCGTACATATATATAGTGTGTATATATATACGTAAGATGACTGTAGAGTATGTAGAACTCAGCTTACATCGTGTAGCATCGGAAGTGTGGAACAAAATATAAAGGAGCTAAAGGGTACGGAGGTTACAGGACGAGAGAGCATATAGAGCGGTATAGTAGATGGAGGATGAAGGAAGAAGAGTGAAGTTAGGTTAGGTGAAACGCGCACGACCCAGGACGGTAGCGAACCCGCACCTAGAACAAGAGCGGTAAAAATAAATCGATAGGCGGAGTTTTTCGTGACGCGCCGCGAGAGGCGCTGGGGGTGGGGAGAGCAATAGGCGGAGTCTGGCTGATTTAGGGCCGCCATTTTGTGACAATGCACGAGAGGGGGAATGCCTATCTGATTGGCTGATCTACGGACTTCTCTCGTCCTCGACAAGCTTCTACAGATTGTTCGGTTGTACTCCGCCGGCACTCCAGCCACCCGGCCGCACGGCAACCGAGCCACCCCAATACGACTGCCGTACCAATACCAATATCACCATGATCAGAGCAGACCTTCTATCACGTGCCTTATATATTCTGTGGACTACGCTCACCCCTGTAGAGTAGAGAGCTACCCTTGACGTTACTATTACTATTACCTTACAGTATTCTTCGTACTGTATGTTGTCGAGTATAGTAACGCTCTCGAAATTGTAAAATTAGGATAATTTTATATGGAAAAAAATTGTAAAATTTTTTTTCCGAAAACCAAATTTTATTCAAGCAATGATTATACAATTAATATGGCGAAGGTTAATTTTTACTTATTAAATTTATTTGTTATGGTAATACATGGGGTTAAACTTTTTTTGGTAATTTATTGGGATTAGGCTGGTCCGCAAAATTAATGTAAATATTTACTGATCGATCAGGCTGCGGCTGGTTGGTCTCTTAGTCACTGATCTAGGACAACCTGTAAGCTGGTGACGATCTCGTGTCAAAATCTCGGTCAGATTTCAGACTTGAGATTTCAGGGGTCGTATCTAAATCGGCGTATCTCATCTGGATATAGTTGCAGTATCAAGATTAACTCTGCACGGGCATATCTCGGTCATAATCTTCTCGCGAGGCACGTGGCTCGGCTTTCGTTCTTTTTCGATCGGATCAAAATTTAGGGAGACCGATCGTTAAAGGCATGATATTCAGCTTCTTCGTTTCCTTCTTCGATTTTATCCTCCTTTCGATTTTGTTGTAGAAAAATTTTTAATTTTTTTTTTTTGGGGGGGGATAAATTTTTGAAAATTTTCCAGGAACGTAGCTAGTATCGTATATAGTGAAATAGGTATGTAAAATTTGTATGCAAATATTTTTGTTCTCAGAATGCAGGATGTCGAGTGGCACGTTTGAGAATTCGAGAGCATTTGGCAGCGATCCGGAAAACTATTTGCCAATTGGTACCGAGCGTTAAATTAAATTCGGTGGTCACATTCAATTGGACGCAGCCCGTTGCTGGCAGAGTGGGCTGCATAGTGGAGACGGGAGTTATGATATTTATTATGCAAATTGCGTCCCGCGAAAGCAGTGGCTCGCGTGTTTGCGTCGCGTGATTAATGACGAGAGGATTCCGGGCACGCAGCTGCACGCCTCGAAAACTGATTCGCACTGGGAACTCGAGTCTATGGCTTTATAAGCCTCTATGCCATAGGAGCTTTTGGAAAATATTTTCAAAATTTGCCATTGATGTGTGAAAGTAAATATTTTTAATTCAAAATAATTTTTGTACCCATTTAAAGTCAGAAAATAAAAAATTCAATGAGTTCAGGATACAAAGCAATTTTTAGTATTAGGTGCGAAAAAGCTCCGTATGTATTTTTTTACGGGAGAAAGTTTAATTTTCAAATTTTGGTATTCAAAGATTTTGTGCTTGAGTGTCTAGCGCAGAAATGGATAAGACGAAGGGGCAGGTATGTGGTAGAGAGCGTACAGTACGTGAAGCATTTAATACGAGAATTAAAAGAAGATGGAAAAGAAGAAGAAGCAATGGAAGCTTTTGTTCGTCGCTGGTTTCGGCTGGATGTAAGCTCGATTTTTCCCCGTCGTTGACAGAAAAGGTGGGGGTATTGCTGAATGACGGTGGGGGTGAGTAACGCCCGTGGAGGGGTGGGACCGTGTCGTAGGCGTTGCTACAGCGACCCGAACATAGCCGAGCGCGAGCGAGTTCTCCCGAGGTCGGGTGAACGTGGGGGCTACGAAGGCCTGTGTTTTCGTGCGCTTTAGTTCCGCGCCGGGTGCCACGATAGTTGCATCGACGAGTCGTGCGCGCGCGCGTTTCAAATTTCAATTTAATTCCACTCACGGTATCGTTGACGGTAATCCGATCGAGAAAACAAAAACGACAGTGTATCGCGTCCTGGACCAGCTGGAAGGCCCACCGGGACACTCCGAACGCCACGATGTGCTGTGTGTGTGTGTGCAGTGTGTTGGTGCTAACCTAGTGATAACACCCCCTATACAAAAACTTGTTATCGCCTTATCGCTGGATTGCTTCTTGAGATAAGGTAAGGCGTCGATCACGCTCGCGATCTCCTTCATATATCAGATTCGTTCGCTTTACGAGCGGGGGCAGCAGTGTCTTCTTCGGTCACACAACAGATTTCTCATCGTTAAACCTTATCTGTATATCAGTCCGGCTTAGATATTTCTCACTCGAATCACTTTCCTTTGCCATTATATAATTCATGGCTCGATCGGTCGTTCCTCCTCTTAATATATTATCTCTCGTATTTTCGTACATTGGTGACCCTGCCTAACGGGCACGACGCTCAAACTTCACGGAACTCGACTTTGCGCCGACGCCCCGCACTTCTCCCTTCTAATCGCTCTTCGTTTTGCTCTCTAAATTTTACGATCTAAATACCGATTGACACAAACTTTACTCTAGTCTTTAAAACTTTACTCTTATCATACCGATCTGTTCTTCCAGATTTATTGGCTTTCCGTATCATTTTTTCATATCCATCCTGGTATCGGACAGCCTTATTAGACACTCGTATGATCAATTGACTAGTCAACGTTATACGAAGGTTCTGTTACCAGTGTTTCTTAAAAATAATTATTAGGTAATTATCGTAGGTTCCATGTGTCATTAAACTTAATGTAAAAGTTGAAAGTTAATTTGACTCGTGTACTTTCCAACGTTTAGTACAAGAGCTACAAATGCGTTTGCCTCCTTTTATTGTACAATCAAGTAATTATCGTGAATCCCATACTGCTCTACTCAATCCTAAAGACGTTAATGGTTATGTTTGGCCAGAAGTCAAGTGACTGCAGTAAAGTGTCTAAAAAGGAGCTCATTGTGATCGGTTAGGGGACAAAGCAAACGAGAATGCAAGTAAGCAGCCAGGTAGACGTAAACAGCAGGCAGCCAAGTAGACAGGCAAAGAAACGCATCGTGAAAATGGTTTAGTCCGGAACTCCTCGACCATCGTCGTGTCCATTCGAAAACAGGGAAAGTTCGTATTATTGAAAAAATAATGTCCAACTCGTAACACCCACAGTGTACAGATAAATATGTTACAACAGTATACAGTGAGCTACTAAAATACTACGGTTATGCGGATTCCGACGGCGCAAGATATTCTCCCGTTCTCTCTGCGTACCTACGTTAGTCAAGACCGAAACAGCAGTTCAATGAGTTTGAAAGTCTTTAGAAAACTTTACGCAGTCAATGTTAAACGGATTGTTTATAATCGTCTGTTGATTTTCCTTTAATATCCAAATACGAGAATCCGATTACCCGCTTACTCGCAAAATGTGTATATTTACGAGACCGTCAAGTCAGTGTCGCGAGGTATGGCTGCGATATTCATTAACATCGCGATAGTCGATCTATCGATTAAGATACGAACGATCGATCCTTACTGCGTCTCGATTTTCATATTATATAATCTTCGTGATTCTCGCTGCGATCGAGATTTCGGCTTACGGTTTTCGCTTTATCTGGACTAGAATAGCTGCGATAGAATCTAATTGCCGGCGGGATTGCCCAAACAAATTAAATCAGCAATTAGTCGCTCGATATCGCACTTCGTAGCTCACTCAGTTACCTCATTTCGGCCATAGTTAAAATTACTTGCCAGACGACCTACGATTTTTCCTCGAGTCACTGGTACACGTAGGCTTCTCAAAAATGTCCAAGGACTTTTTACAGCTTTTTCGCTTTTCCTATGTTTCACCTTCGCGTCCATTACACACCAACTCTGTTTCGTCTCGTTCTTCCTTCTCGTTGAAAATTCTCCCCTCGTTTCCTTACCATCGATATGATTTTTCAGATGCTATCCCTCCCCTCGTTCCCCGCGCCACGGCACAGCTTGTGACAAATCGCGCGACTTTGCTCGCTCACGATTTCGCAAGAAGGCGTCACCCATTGTACGCATCTGCTGTGCGCAAGACACGGCAAGTCGCTTTAGATAAGAACTCGACGGCGGATAACGAATGGGTCGTTTTCAATACTCCGCATGACTCTGCGACGCAACTCCCGGTAAACGCGAGGATTTTCATTTGATTTACTTTTCGTAAAATTTTATCGCGAAAACTGTTTGGATTTTTCTCTCTCAATTTTTAACGCTATCGTTCCCCGCACGAATCGACAAAAAGACGTTAGATGCTTCCATCCGTTTCCGCGACTCTCCGACTGGTCACTTCTTATTCTCTTCTCGTACGTGTCTCGCATCGCTTGGATGCACGCAGAAAACAATAAACACCTTGGATCCACGAGTATCGCTGACACCGAACAGTAAACGTCTCTGCCGGCATATATATATATATCTGTATACATTTGTAGACATAACAAAACCGAGATGGCGAACGTCAGTATCGTCAGGCAACCGCGAATAATTGCCAATTTGCAAGTATAATATCTAACAGTTTGTGCTTTCATTTATTAGCCGCGAATCGACGGTGCGCGCTTATTAGCGCGGACCGGCACATTTAAAATAAACTCGACAATAACGATCGTCGGGAGTGGCCGGTGTTAAACAGTGAATTAACTCCTCGACCGTCCGCGCCGCGTCGCTCGGATCGCCAGGCCAGAATACTCTGGCAATTTTCCATGGGGATTGCCCATAGTAAATTGCATGGCAAAAGCCTGCCTGCTATTCTACTTCCAGTCGCCTTCGTTATTAATTCATATCCATTCTCGTACACCGCTGTCGTATTTAATCTTTGCTGGGTTCTCGGAGGTAAACATTTTTTGAAATTGCTACTCTGCTTTTACCTTACGAATCCTTGTCGTATAGACGTACATTGTTCTGGGCTGCTAATTCAAGCATCGATAGCATTTATAACCTCTACCGTCTTACGCTTGACATTGACACTTCTCGTTGACTCAAAACTGGATTATTACTCGATGGCCGAGCGCGACGTTAAAAGTTTATGCTCCTTGAGGTCGATTCAAAATTCATCCTTCGTAGACGCGGGTGTAGCTGGTCCACTATCTTACGTGGACTCTTTTACTCGGGAATGTCACGGGCCAACGGGCCCATTGTTCCCGGCTATACCGAATGTGCGTGGATTTATGTATACATAAACGAGAAGCGTTATGTATATGTATATACGCATGCGATATCTCGTATAGGCATAGATATAGGGCCGTGCTTACCAGTGTGTGGGATTTCTCGTTTTCTGCTTCTGGAAAAGGAGATGGGTCAGGGTTG